CTTCCCTGGCATATAACTGTATTAACCCCCAAAAAGGAGGAATTAATTGTAGTCCACCACTTACTGATCTGGCCAGTCAGAAAAAATGACTCACCCTGGCTACCAACTGTGTTGTCCTAACCTCGGCCAAAGTTAGACTTTTTTGTAAAATGTATGTATCAGCACCATGCCTTCATCCATTTTTGAGTGAAGGTCCTGAAAGTCTTTGTTCATTTTTTCTTGTTTCCACTGTGAATACTGTTTCAACTATGCCGAGCCAGTTTTTTAATGTGCACTATTTGATCTAAGTGGGGATCCAAAAATCCAACAGGCATCTGTGCCAGCCAGACCACCATTGCTGGATCCCACTGTTGCAAGAGTAACGCTTTAACTCTCCCAAACAGATTCCCAATCAGCCAATCAAAGAGACTGAATGAAGTCTGCCTATCTGTTACTTATAGATACTTATTGATCCGGACCAAGTAAGGTGCTTAATTCTGCCTAATATTCCTGTTGTCCTGTGCAATAAAAAAATGACTGATCACACATTTACTAGATTTCCTTTTACTTAAAAGTTTTAAAACTGGAATTCCAACATTTAGATAACCGCAACTCAAAAATTACAACTGTGTTTTAACATTAAACTTTATGTCATATAACTTTTAATTTGCATTAATGATGATCAAATCACATCAGGAGGCATGAAGCTAAAAGTGAACTTGTTAGGTTTATTCTTCAAATAAACTTCAAAAGAATCACAAGGACACAAAGGCTTGTCAGCAGCAAGGGGAGAAGCCTGTCAGATTTAGCTACGTCAGATGAGCTGACTCCAACAGGCCAACTCCAACAGGGTCTTGCAACCCTGCAGTATTTATTCAAGCATAGGCGTGTCGTAATAGTTACGCCAAAATAAATTCTGCTGTTTTTTTTAAAGGTTTTTCTGAATGTTCAACAGCAAAAACAAGGACAGGAAAATGCATTCCATATATGGTAACACTTTAAGAAAGCTGAGTTTGACATTTACATAGGATGTCACCTATCTTTTCTGACAGCTACAAAAGCGTCTGCACATTGTCTGGAAACGTCTTTAACAGGAAATCACATTTTGCAGACGTATAATATTGGAGAATTGTGAGGCGCAAAACTCTTAAATATATGGATAAACAAAACGAACCACAGAGACGAGTTCTTACTGCCAGCCATGACGGGTCGGGAGATTTATTAACACGTCTACAAAAAACATTGTTTCTCAAATCTCAAAGTTCTCAAAATCTCTAAACCAAAAAATCTTAACCGTTCTTTGTGTACAGGCCTTTTATAGTTTCCCAATGACGTCAAACTGTTTGAGATAAGTTTTGACCAATCCAAATACTACGTTGGTTTGCGTCAAGTGTGTGTTGGAGTTTTTTCGAAACGCTGATGACCTCTTGATCTGAACATTTGCTCCACACCAGAACTGCAAAACAAGTCAATTAATAACAATTGTTGTTCTTATCTGTCCTAACAGCTTACTTCCCAAATCGTATTCTGGTCCAACTTTCGTGCTTTTCCAGATCAAATCGACCTTTCTGGCGCCGGGAATCTTTCTTCAAAAACAACTCCATAAAAAGTATAAAAACAGCAAATACATCAGCAAATAAGTGGTAAAAAGTATTAATTCCCTATTAGAACTGATGGTGTGACCTGTTTTCTGATGAGTCCAGGTAATATTTATCTGACCGCTTAGGGACACTCATGGAGCATTAAAATGACAGACAGTTGATCCTTAAAAACAGAAAAAAACATACTCAGAAATTACATCCTCAGTCCTGAGGGGTAGAAAACTGAACTCCACACCCCTGAGCTCAACATACGTGCAATATTTAAACGAGGAGAATATCAAAAGTGGCACACATTTTTTCAAATACATAAAATACTTTATGTTCCACCCTCACACTCAGTTCTAATTTGTAGGTTTTTAAAATGCCAATTTACACGGCAAGACAAGAAACAGTTTGATAGCAGATTTGACTTATACTCAGATAAAAGTATTTTGAGCGATCAAAACACTATTATTTAATTAGCTGAATGATAATTGACAATACTAAACTTGATTAATAATTTTATCCTTTTGTCCATACTTCCATTTTATCAGAATAAAGTGATTATATGTGCTTTAACTCTATGCAAATTCTAGATTATAAGAAGTTTCCTTTTATTCGATATAAGTCTTCCTCAATGAAAAGGTATGTTATTTAATCTTCAGACTAATTTTTACACATTATGGGAGTGATTTTACTTTATGAAGACTAATATAAATAGATTTAGTTCAAATTTACTACAAGGAATAATTTTCTTTTTAACATTCCTTAGGGAGAAAAAGGCCTGGGATGCACCAGGAATTGTAAAGCATTGTGCAATAATGCATGAAGGGGAAATGGGAGCAATGACTCCTGATGTAACTCATGTTGCTCTGTGATTTGATTCAGTGTAGGAAAAATATTGCTGCACTTCTGGGTAAAGTACATCACTTTATTCTCTCTGATCTTGTTAAAAGCTTAGTTGGTCTACTTAGAGTTAAGTATTCACCATGTGTAACCAGACAGTTTTAACAAACCGTGTTTGGGCAGGCCTCTGCAGACCCTGCTCACCACTTGAATTGTAAAATGTTTTGCTTGACTTGCCCAAAGCAGAGATACACATAAGTCAAAGCAATACAATATTGTGTCCTTTGATCAAGTGGCAATCTTAGATGTGGAACAACACAGCCACAAACGTCAGCTTCCCACATTACCTTTTATTTACAGCCAGCAATAAGCTGTATGAAACACACTTGATGCCAGAGAGCTGATGGATTCCACAACTGCATGTTACAGGAATCATCTGGCAGAGAACAAGTGCGGCAAACAGCTCATCAACTGCAAAGTAATCTACCAACTCTGTATCATTTGGCTGCCGGTTCACAGCATTCATAACCCCAGCTGAGGGATGCTGCAGCACATCAAATTGTAAGCTTTATAAAACACCTCAATCTGCTGTGGCAGATAGATATAAACAGTTCTTCGGTAAATAGAGATGACCCCCGAAGGTTACCATCACTCACTCACACAGACTGATAAATGTTCCATAAAGACTCAAAGTGCCTCATGACAACTCAACAAAGCTCTGGTATCATAAAACAAAAATGTATGATTGCTGTTCAACCTGTTAAACTCCATTTGACAGTCGCAATACATACTGATGAAAAAGTCTCAAACTCCTAGCAGTTTGTATAGCATTTATTTCCAGCTTTAGATTGGTTTCTCTTGAAGTGTAACCCTGTAAATTAGTGCTAAACATGTTGCTAGATAATAAAATATAAAAGTGTTGGCACTGTGGTAAATGCAATGTTAACAGCATAGCATTTTCTCTTGATAATCAGATCTACTCTGACATCACGGCCAAGACACTATGATAAGTGCACAATTTATTTTCTGGCAAACACAACTATACTACGGCTGAACTGTTTAAGAAGCAAGGTTTTAAATGCATAGATAGAGATAATGCCACACACTGTATTTAAAGCTGTTGTATTTTCACATTTTGTTAAGTCACAACCACAAACCTCAATGCATTCAATTGGAATCCTGCATAGAACATTAGTAGGAAATGAAAGAACATTATACATTATTTTTTTAGCAATAAAAATCTTACAACTGGAGCACACACCTTTGTATTCAATGCCCCCAGAGATACTAGTAAATAAGTACATTTTTACGTATATAGCACAGGATAAAAGGCAAAAAAACCTTCACAAGTTAAAATATAAATGGCACACAGACAAAAAATGTGACAAAATAAAAACATGAAACAAAAAATCTGCAGTCTAGTACTTGCTAAAAAATCTTTGCTAAATAAAAGTTTCTTTAGCTGCTTTTTCAAAGTATGGAGCAAATCAATGCAGCGTAAAGAAGGTGGCAATGTGTTCCCCAACTTGGGAGCCACAGCTTTAAACAAAAAACCTGTCACCTGTGACTAACTGATCTAAGGTTTCGGGATGTGTTATGGAGTACTTCTAAGGTCAGAAATGTAAGCTGGGGCTACACTGTGCAAGTCTCTTTCTTGTTTTGTTTAAAAGCCTTGGAGCAGAGTTCTGTTCTCACTAATCACTGTTCACTACTTTTTTTAAGCAGGTAAAAAGACTGTTATGGTTCTTCACTTGAGAAGAGATAAATGCCTGAATAATCACCTCATCTCAGTTTTTGACGTGAAGTATCATGGTTCGGAGATATTCCTTAACTGAAAGTAGCTGTTTTTGATATTTAAAAAAAAAAAAAGAATCTCAGAGTTAGAGTTGAAAATCACACCAAGGTTTCCGAGGCTTGGCAAGAAAGTCAAAGCCCACATATACCCAGGTGCTGCTTGATATTAGAGCTGTGACTGTCAGGAGCAATGATCATAGTTTCTGTTTTATCCCAGTTTAATCTCAGGAACATACCAGATATGTCAGGGATAAAGTTATAAAAAAAAGTTTAAAGACGAGTAAGGCAATAAAACCATATCCCAAAAATTCACAGAAAAATGTTTAACCTGTGATGTGATAATGTTCTATTAGCCCAGTAATTTACAAATTTAACTTCATTGTGTCGAACAGATGAAATTTCAATAAAATACATTGGAGTTCATAGTTTTGCTGTGACAACATGTGAAAACGCACATGGGGTTTAAATCTTGTTCCAAAGCCCTGTAAAAAAGATTATTACTGCTGATGAGTTATGTAATTCTGAGTTTAATAGCACTCCCCAGCAAAGACCAATTCAACAGTCAACAGACCATTTAAGCCTGATTAGTCTCAGACTGGCTTTTAATTTGATATGCATGCAGACCTCAAATTGCGAGGTGGGTAAGATGTCTGTCATATACACAGATGCATAGCAAATGAGGTTGTGTGATTCAGTTGTGGACCAATCATTTATATTAAAAAATTAAGGAAAGTGAAATAGCAAAAAGGGCAATGGCTTCTTCTAAGCTGGAATTTACTTTTTCCCTGCAATGTGTCATACCTTATCAGGGTTTTTTTCGATCCATTCCTTTACTGTGCCCAGAGCGATGTCCGCTGCAGGCTCGTTGGGATAGCCTAAGGAGAAAAAACAGTGTAAAAAGCGGTTGTATGCAGCATGCAGATGTCAAATGGGAGGTAAAAAATCAGACAGGTAAGCAAACAAAGAAAACTGATAGCAGCAAAATTCCTCCTGAATCAATGAAAAGCAACCTGCTCGTATCAGTGAGATGAGACCAACTGTCTGATCAACTGCTGTTGACGAGTGCTGCCAGATGCAGGGTGATGTGAAAACACAGACAGACAATATTACATGGTCTTCAAAGTGTGGATACAAGCTGCACACACACAATCACACCCTCACTCATTACCACCTCAAGCAGAACTGATTAATGTTTTATCTTTATGGGGAAATTACACTTTGATGTGTGATCATGCGCACCATTCCTTTGTTTTATCAGCTTGCCAACATGAACCTGGAGTCTAGGCACAATGCAGCAAACCATCATATTAACAGTTGTGTCAGCAGAGGAACTGTAACAGTTTGTTAACACTCTAAAGAAAAACTGTTCCTTGATTATTTTCTAATTAGACCAGGAAAAGGAAGACGACAGGATACTATTCTGTAGATCACTTACTGCCAGTGTAGATAACTTCACAGGACCTAACTCCAACAGCGAGATATTGACTTAAAAATCCTCTGGGGCTGCTTTCCTACTGTGGTAGAGTAAATATGCCAGAACCAAAAGAGCTGACAAATTGCTACAGAGAAGTTCCTCAGTTGTCCTGATTTTAAAGTAATTACAGACTACCTGGTTGAATAAAAAAAAAAAAAAGTATATCACTTTTACAAAAACTTTAATGCTTCCTACAGAAAAATCACTAAAGAGATTAATAACTTTCGAATTACTATTCTTCTCCGGTCTGTGGAAGGTTTTTCTGGTTACATATGTTTAGCTGTCTCTCTTTCATGGAATGAGTCGTCCAGCTTTGTGCTCTTAGTTTTTTCCATAGTAAATTCTGCTGGTCTAGTGATTCTGTGTATAATTGTGTGTGTTTCCTGGACACAACCATTGAGCCATTATTCAGTTTTTTTATTTTCATAGAAGGTACTGCTCGTGAAAGTGAGGGTGTGATTGGTAGCATATTTATTAGCTACCAATAAATATGTGTACCCTGTTTGTTTTACTTTCTATTCTCCCAGTGGACTTTGCTCTTAGGTGGGCGTCTTACAGATGTAGCCATTGACATTGGTGCAATGAACAATGAGTACTTCCTTAGAAAGTACCCTAATGCCAGATCTGTTGGTGCCAATAGATGCATACTCTTTCTTGTAAAAGGTGCTCTTGGACCATTTATTTAGAGTCTGCTTTCTTTTCTCTTAGCTCCAAGCCATTCTTGACAGCTGGCCACTCTGGAGGTTTCTCACAGCAGGATAATAAATTCCTGCATAGTTAAATTGATAGAATCTGCTGAAATTTCTTAATTTGTTTTCTTAATTAAATAACAGAATTTGACAGAATTGCATGGGAACCTGACTGAATTTTTGACTAAACTGTTAAACTTACCCAGATATGAACTGGAACTGAATACCTTATAAAGTGTTTTGAGAAGCTACATATATAACTAAACTGAGTTTAACATTATATTTCTGCATTCAGTGATTTCAACTTCACCAGCCTCTCATTATGATCACACATGTGTCAGATTATTGATGAACATCAGAGATGGGGATAAAAAGAACACTTAAACTACTAAAGTATAATAAAGAATGACACAATACTTGAAGAAAAATGTGAAAGCACAGTGATTAATAATCATCTTGCAAGGGGAAAGATGGAGAGAAAATAATGATCAGACAACACCCACATTTTTATTCCATTTTGTAAGGATTTAACTCTGGGTAGTGCATGGTCTGAAGAAAATTACTTGACATCAAGTAAAATCAAAAAGTTAAATTTAAGTTTTCAACAAGGGATAATAACTGAACTCCTCAATTATGGAAAAAGATATTACTTTTTGTCTGACTATTTTGTCATCAATACAGGATTGCAAATTCATGACTTTCAATAAATATTTTAAGTTTTGACTGTATTCCATAAGGTAGTCAGCGGCTGTCCTGCAAATACCCTGTTGGCATCACATTGCAGAATGTGATGCCAACAAACAAGCATGGCATGTTTCTTCAGTTGCTGTGACCCAGTACAGGATTTAAGGCTCTGTTTAAAACCCTCGACCCCATAAAGAACTACAGGTTGTAGCAGACAGTCTAACAACAAAGGTTAACACCTCAATTTCAACCAACATCAACTAATCCAATGGCTTGGTCACAGTTATACCTGTTAGTTAGCACTGGGGTCATATTTTCAAAAGTAGACTTTTTTATTATTATTTTGTTCAGTCATTGACATCACTGTGACCCATGAAGCAGCTTTACAAGAACAACATCAACCTATCTTTTCATACAGAAGTAAAGAAAACTGAAAGGACGTAAAGACTTAACCTGAACATTTATTGATTTTTTTTTATCTGTGACTCTTCCTGTCAAAGCAGCTCAGTAACTACTATCAAAATTCTCATAATCACCATCTTGAATAGTCAATAAACAATATGCAGATTCATGCTCTAGATCTTCACCTATGCGACTGCAGTTGATGATTCTCCAGTGTTCTCTGTTTTTCTCCTCCTCTTCCTCAGCTTGACAGGAGTGGCCGAGTTACACTGATGAGAGCAGAGGGGGCTGAGATACTGCCAAGCCCTCGCCAAGTTCCCGTTCAAACTCAGGGTGAGGCAAGATGTGAACTGCATACCAGCCAGCAGTGACTGCCAGCATGCTCCTACAGCTCTGTTCTGCAGCATCTGCAGACAGTGGAAAGTCTGTTCACGGCTCCTGTTCTTTAACAGGAACCCCCAAGAGCCATGCGCTCAGAAGCTAATCCAGAATGCCAAAATCTTCTAGTCACCTGACTTCTCTTACATTTCATTTCAAGCACACTTAACCTTTTTAGATGTTTCCTTTTTTTTTCCTGCTGATGCTTCCTTTTAAGAAGCTGTTCCCACACCTGTGCAGGTGTACCAACACCCAACTTGCACATCAAGTAACAAACAGATGTGCAGCAGACAGGAAAGCTGAGGAAAGTAGTTTTGGGGAGATGGGGCCAGCTGTTCAGTTAGCACAGACACAAGAAGTGTCTGAAGCACATAAACAAATGAACAAAAAAATGTAAATTAAGAATTAAGTATCTACCTCTGTCCCCTGAGTCTGAACACGGGCTAGTAAACTTCTTGCAAAACGGAGACTAAAATATAATAATTGTTCCTCCATGTCACCATAAATGAGCTAAAGGTACAGAGAACATTCAATCCATTCAGAGCAGTTTCTATAAATTCTCTATTGATTTGACAACTACACCTATTAATCATAGCAGAGCTGGATGGAAAATGGGTTGAAAGAAGTGAAGCAGAGGCCTAATTTAAAAAAATATATATATTTATATATTAAACCAGTACATTCACAGTACCAAAGATCAGACAAGATGTGATAAAATGAGATCTTGCAGGAAAAGAAGTATCAGTTGCGCTGCAGGTGGCCTGACAGAGGAACTCAAAGTTACAAAGTTAACAGTACCAATATGAGTGGATCAGCAGCTTTCTCTCATCATGCTACTTTAAACTTTCCTCTCCTCTCTCTTTGCCTCTCTGTCTCTTTCAGCTTGGCCAAGTATATTTAAACTGAGAGGAACGGATACAATAAAGTACTTTAAAACTCAACCTCTAGCACCACTCCTGGGCTTCCGAGTCCAGGCACCACCAGCAGCACTGCTGACACAATCCACTTTCTGAAAGATGTGCAGCACAGGATTGAGTGAGCTGAGTCTTTTATATGCTGAAGCGCACACAAAATGCACAAATTCTGTGTTGCTCTTACATCTCTTGCCCTCAACCACCTCCTTTCTAGGGTTTCCTGTGTGCAGCGTTCAGGAGAAGCCAATATGTCAGGTGGTGAGGTGCTAGCATTAGCCACAGTGATGGTGGGCCCTCCAGGGTCTCTGCTCGATTTGGCTCGCCTCTCTACTATGCTGGGAATATGGCTGGCTCAGAGAGATTTGTCTTAGTGAGGTGCACTGATGGGAAATGTGCAGTGCAGCGCCCCTGATGAGGGCTCAGGTGGTGCAGTGTTATTTCAGCTGAAGGCTTCTCTACTTTATCACCGAGCAGAGAGCAGCATCCTGAGAAAAGGGATCCAATGGCACGTGCCATGTTTTATGAAGGCCCTTTGTGAGAATGTTTGCATAAGAGACTGAAAAAAGCTAAAACAGATGTAAATGCTAAATTAAATTCATGGTATTTGATATCATACAGGTAGAAGGCAGCATCTCCCAATGCTCCATTAGTTGCTTTTTAGCTAGTTTTGGAATATATTTAAATGCTAATTAAATATATTTAAAGTAATGTGGTTCAATGTTGTTGTATAAGGCAGATAATTTTGTCTTACTCCTATTATAGAGATACAATTTTAATTAAAAGTTGTTTTTTCAAAACAAAAAAGAAACATCTCTGTCCAATCTTCTATGTTTAAACATGTTCATTAAATCTTCCTTCCTGCCTTTAGTAACTTTGAAAATATAAAGAAATATATAAAGCAAGTGACAGTGTTTAAAGAGCTAAAAGATTTTTTGTCTTCAGACTGAGTGAACTGATGGTGTCACACACAAAAAGCAAGTACAACCACCATGTAAATATCTCAGTTATTTATAAAAAAAATATTTTAAATGGAAGTGAATATATCTTCAGGAGGATGCATGATACGACCTCAAGACAATTGTAGGACAAATCTCTCTTTTGAAAATCCAGGTCCTGACAGAAAGGCAAAATGAACCATTTAAGGTGTGATACAATACAACACAGATTAACTGATGGTAGTTTGAACGAGAAGAAGAAGTCAGTAAGTGAAGGCAGCACTTTTGCAGGCTGCTCTAGTTGAGGGAAGCAGAGCTGCGTGTTCATGTGGAAAGCACGCTGGGAAGTAGGGTTGTCACCCCGTCAGGGCCCAGAGGAGAGGTGAGGTGACCCGGGGT